CCTCGGCCGAAAGAAGAGACAGACTGAAAGAAGAAATTTCCCAAAATGTAATAGGGTGAAGTGAACGTTACAGACGAGAACAGAACATATTACAATTATTATTATTATTATTATTATTATTATTATTATTATTATTATTATTTTCTTTGATTTCTGGCGTTTACACATTTCTTTCCGGGTCCCGCCCAGGGACCTAAGGTTAGAAATGGCGTCATGACACTTTCCACTGACATAAAAAAAAAAGAAAAAAAAAAGAATTAAATTACATAGATAAAGCCCTTCGTAAGGTGTGGGCTGTACTTGTCAGAACAATTTTTTGTATCTCCTTGAGGCATGGACTTCCAGGAATCCCTTCAATTAGTCTACTGCAATCTTTTCCAACCAGTCCTAGGGCTCCAACTACAACAGGGATTGTTGATGTTCCCATATGCCACATTTTCGAGATTTCTATTTCAAGGTCCTTGTATTTTGACAACTTTTTGAATATCTTCAAAGATACATTGCAGTCAGCAGGGACTGCCATGTCAATAAGGAGACACCGTTTTTGTTTGTGGTCTTTAATAACAATATCTGGCCGATTGGCTTTGATTGTTCTGTCAGTGTGTATTGTGTAGTCCCATAGAATTGTAACAGGTCCTATCACCGTAACCGGGTCTGGGTGGTGTTCATACCAGTTTCTTTCAGTTTTCTTCCCGTAGAAGTTGCAGGTTTTCCAGTGCAGATATTCGCCCACTCTGTCATGTCGGGTTTTATATTCAGTGGGTGCCAACACCATGCAACCTGATACAAGATGATCAATTGTTTCTGGATACTTATCATTATCACTAGTGTATCCATGCCGTCAAAACTGACGGCAACTAGGAAGGTATTATAAGTAATATATATTTTAAGTAATTTTCATTTAATTTAAGTACAATTTTGTACTATTTTGTAATTTAAAATAGTTTGTTATTAAAGTTAATAAATGAACAGTGTACAGTTTATAAATACCTAAGGAAAAATATCCGTATATTATCCTCATATAAATTTTACATATTTACAACCAAATTTATGTTTACTGTAAAAGTTTCCAAAGCACAGTATTTTTGTGTAAACTTTGGAAGGTCTGATTAATCCTTGACAGTCTGTTGATTCAATATGTAATTTCAGAGTCTGCATATTTCTCGTCCTACTCAGAGCAACGTATCATCAGATATTTTTAAAATTATTTTTTCTCAAGCTATTAACAAATTCGACAAGATATGCTTAATTAACAATATATATATATATATATATATATATATATATATATATATATATATATATATATAAAGTGAACATAGAAGTCAACACTTAGAGGCGACAATCTGTTACATGCTAGATGCATTCGTCAGGCCACCTAGTGTTGACTTCTATGTTCACTTTTATATTTACACACGCTCTATCTCTGATATTGAGCACTTTATCCCATAAATATGGCACATCTTAAGACTATATTTCTTCATATATATATATATATATATATATATATATATATATATATATATATATATATATATATATATATATATTGTTACTAGAAAAAAACCTTGGGTACTTGGCTTATAGTAGAACAAACCAGTACCCAAGGAAAAATGAGGAATAAAAAAAGAAAGAACTAAGAACATGAAATTGAGGCGATATATATATACAGACTCAGTATCGTTCAAGCCACCTTTTTACCTTTTTTATGATTTGTATTTGCGAAGATATTTTAAAATTAATAATACGTAATAATTGCATTTGTATCCATTAAGCGTTTAGAAATTCTCAGAATTAAAAAGTAAAAAAACGAATAGGATTAATTATTATTCCCGTTCGTTTTTACTTTTTAATTCTGCTAATAATTTCTTTGAAACTCTATATGTATTTCAAAATTTTCTATTGTCTTGAATTTATTTGCTTATTTTTTTTTTTGCTTTTGTGCAAATATTTTAACTTTTAACCATTCATTATTGCAGATTTTAAAAACGAAACTTAATATCTATTCTTTTTTACTTTACAAAAACAAATTTCAAACAATTGAATTAGTCAAAGCCGGACCGGCGCAAGTGTCTTCTCCCCACCTCGAAATAATGATACGGAAAAATAATTTATTTCTTTTATGGAAAATATTTTTTTATTCAATCTTGAAAAATATAAACTTCATTGTTCTTTTTTATTTGTTACTGACATGAAAAAAGTAAATATGGTTAAATTAAGTTCTATTAAACAAAAACTATAGCGAGCTTTATTTTTTTCTAAAATTAATTCAAATAAAATATAGTTAAATTCGCAAAACAAATATTCAACACAACTAATGTTTAATTTTTATTTAAGTAATGTTCTTTTTTCTTTTAAAAAATATCTTTAATTTGGGCGGGTGGGCTATCGTTATTTTACACACTTCCTCTCAAATTTTACATAAAAAAATTAAATATATATGTTGCGTATTTATATACAGTGTAACCCGGATATAAGAGAAACCCGGATATAAGAGAGATTTTCTCTGGTCCCAAATTAGAGCCCATACTTACCTAAACAAAATAGACCAAACCCGGATATAAGAGAAACCCGGATATAAGAGACTTCTTCTCCGGTCCCGACAACTCCCTTACATCCGGGTCACACTGTATATGGATTATTATTATTATTATTATTGCAACAACGAAAACAACAACAATAATACTAGCTTTTTTTCTATTTTCATATCACTTCTGGACATAGCTGGTCATAGCTCTCCACAGCTTCCATTTCTTAATTACTGTATATACTCGAGTATAGCGCAAGTTTTTAGGATTATTTTTTTACACAAAAATTTGGGTCGCACTATACACTAGTAATTTTCTTTTTTAGCGGTTAAAAATCATACATTTTTACTGGCCAGTTGCACTATACACAGGTAAATTCTTTCTGGTGAGGATAAAATTCATACAAGAACATTCAGGGATTGTACTGTACATGAAGTCGACTTATACACGGGTATATATGGCATTTGAGAATTACCATGACTCCTTGTGAGAGATAGTAGAGTGGCTTTCTATTGCCTTCTCTACAGTTTTGCATTCCGAGATCTTCTGTCCCCAGACTGGCTGGCATCCAAGTCTAGAAAACATAACCTGTCTTGCTATATAACCGATGACTGCTGGGAGGTAAAGAAGAAATGGTTTCATGCCTTTCCCAAATGTAATAGAGCGAAGTGAACATAACAGACGGACATAGAATTTGAACTCGGCTCGTCAATTTCACTTTCCACGCTGGTCACTGTTATGTTAGCCAAACAACCTATCCTAGATTTCCCCTGTCATAAAAAAAAATGATTATATATTTTCTTAAGAAAGTTTTTGATATGTCCCGGAAAAGGGATATATTTGAACGAAGTAGCTAAGTGGTTTTGGCTACTAGAACCAAGGAGAATATGTTAACAGACTGGTACGCGTCGAAGTCGCAGGTAAGAAGTGTAGATCAATGGCGTAGTCCAATGGGCGTCGTTATAGACTTAGCTCTCAGACTAAGGCTCTTTGACTCACCTACACGTCAGTCTGTATTTATGACGGACACCAGCCAATCATATTCCAGTGAGGAAGAACACAGGTGTACGCATATTCCATTATATCAGATAGATAGATAGATAGATAGATAGATAGTGATATGTCCCGTAAAGGGATATATTTGAACGAAGTAGCTAAGTGGTTTTGGCTACTATAACCAAGTAGAATATGGTAGCAATAATCGACTGGTACTCGTCGTAGTCGTAGGTAAGAAGTGTAGATCAATGGCGTAGTCCAATGGGCGTCGTTATAGACTTAGCTCTTAGACTAAGGCTCTTTGACTCTGTCGTACCTACACGTCCGTCGGTATTTATGACGGACACCAGCCAATCATATTCCAGTGAGAGGGAACACAGGTGTACGCATATTCCATTATATCAGTTTTATTGGAAATAAATTCGACAGAATCCTCTTGAGCATCTCTTAAATGTACTACATCAGAAATCAAGTACTGCAGGATGCTAACACGCAAGAACAGGCCCAATGGAACAAAAAGAGAAACTTGAAATGGTATGGACATATCATAAAAGCCAACAACCATTCCACTGCCATCCTACAAGGTACCACTTTAGGCAAGGAAAGAAGAAGACAGAGGGAAATGAAGGCTGACACTATCACTGAGTAAACTGGAATAGCATTCACAGAGATTCAGACATTTGCACACAACCAACCCTAGACGCAAGCAACCAATCTGCCACTGCTATTACCCTACACGCAAACCGTTAGTGGCCCGCTACCAGCGGTCTGCCAGTGGTAATAATGCCGAGACGAACACACCGGCGGTCCGACAGCGGGTCACCAGCGGTAAACGTTAGTGGCATGCTACCCAGTGGCAGATTAGTAGCTTGCGTATGCGTTTACTGCTGGTGGACCACCCGAGTGTTCATCTCGGCAATGTTACCACTAGCGGGCCGCTATAGGCCCCCCGATGGCCCGACGGTGGTTACATCCAGAGGACCGCTTGCATTGCCATCGGCTGCCCGCCAGTGGACCACTAGCGGTTAGGGAGCTGGTTAGTTACTCAACTGCACAATAAACCCTATGACCACACCCGGTCTGATAATGATGCTGCTGCTGATGATAATAACTTTGACTAAATTAAATTTAAATATTTGCATTATTTTGTAAATTTTTGAAATCATTTCACCCCAAACCATGCAACAAAGGCAATGAGACGTAATAGGTTATAATTGGGATTGATTCATTTTTTACGGCTTATCAACCTTTTGCAGGTTTAAAGCCAGAAAATATTCTTAGATTGTAAGAATTTTGTTTTTGAGATAATAATGATTTAGAGATACAGGTCTTACTAATTAACCCATAGCTTGGGGAGCAGAGGTCGATTCATACCTTTCCCAAGCGTATTTGCACGTAAGAAGAATCCAACTGAAATTGGAACTTAGCTCTACGATTAACAATTCCGAACATTATACCACCGACACATTCAAACTTATAGCACCTGGTATTCCCAAGTGGTCACCCAACAACGTACTGAGCAGGCTCAACGTTGCTTAACTTTGGTGATCATATGGGAGCCAGTGTTTCAACATGATGTGACCATAAGTCATTCTATCAGAAAAGAAAGAGGCCCATTGGGAAACTTAATAACTACTTCTTCTAAGAAGAAGTAATTGAAATGGTATATCATAAGAGCCAGCCATCTTTCCACTGCCATCGTACGAGGTAGAATTTTTGGCGAACGAAGAGACAGAGGAAAAAAATAAGCTGACAACATTATATTGAAGGTTGTACAAGGGGGTGAAGCATTGGCACGCAACCAACACGTATAGGGGGATCTGGTTAGGGTCTCAGCTGTATAGCGACTTTATGACCACGCCCAGACATGGGACTGATGATAATGATAATAATGAATTAACATGCAGTATTTTTACCTTACTCTGTTAATAGATGCAAGTCTGTGCGCAAAGAATATGATATAAAAAGAAAAACGCATTGTGCATATGCGTTTGCTAGCCCCTCTTATTCTCGACATGATCATTTAGGAGTACAAGTATGTGCGTGGGCAGGCGGAAAATAAAAGGAAACGAACTGGAAGCAGAATAGGTATGGGCTCATCAAAGGCTGACGGTGAATAGAATCGAATTCGATAGAAACTCAGCATGTATTTCTCATCGTTCGTTAATGACATGCGCCGAAACCTGGCCTGAATAGCGACTTTGGATCAAGAGTGTAGAGGGATGCTCAGCAGGGTAGCGGGGGAAAACGGACGGGTATTGCGGGGAGACAACGATGGGGGGTTTAACTATTAACGTTCATATTGAAATGTGTCGGCATGGAGGTTTCGCTCAGTGGTTAGAGCAATGAACCTATGAGAAAAGAGCCAATAGATGTAAAACTTACGCTAGAGTTAAAAATGTATATATAAGTCGTATTTATACTTGAGTCTGCCAATATCCAAATGAATGGGGGATCCTTTGAGTAGATCGTCTCCTCACAATGCAAGGGATGTAGGATTTTAAGCCCCGCCAAAAGAGCCAAAAAACTGTGTATAATCAATATAAATACTTACATTATTTACATTATTCGAACTGTTATCCTCGTCGTCACTGACATATTCACAACGTTTCGGCCTTTGTATGCTCCGTTCTGTCTATATCTCTGCGGTATTATGATTATTTACATTATTCAGACTATTATCCTGATCTTCATTGCCATATTCACAACGTTTCGGCAGTTGTACGCTCCGGCCTTCTTCAAGATCTGTCTATATCTCTGAGATGAGGTATTATGATTATTTACATTATTTACATTATTCGAACTGTTATCCTCGTCGTCACTGACATATTCACAACGTTTCGGCCTTTGTATGCTCCGTTCTGTCTATATCTCTGCGGTATTATGATTATTTACATTATTCAGACTATTATCCTGATCTTCATTGCCATATTCACAACGTTTCGGCAGTTGTACGCTCCGGCCTTCTTCAAGATCTGTCTATATCTCTGAGATGAGGTATTATGATTATTTACATTATTTACATTATTCGAACTGTTATCCTCGTCGTCACTGACATATTCACAACGTTTCGGCCTTTGTATGCTCCGTTCTGTCTATATCTCTGCGGTATTATAATTATTTACATTATTCAGACTATTATCCTGATCTTCATTGCCATATTCACAACGTTTCGGCAGTTGTACGCTCCGGCCTTCTTCAAGATCTGTCTATATCTCTGAGATGAGGTATTATGATTATTTACATTATTTACATTATTCGAACTGTTATCCTCGTCGTCATTGACATATTCACAACGTTTCGGCCTTTGTATGCTCCGTTATTCCTCAGGATATGTCTATATCTCTGAGGTATTATGATTATTTACATTATTCAGACTATTAACCTTATCTTCATTGCCATATTCACAACGTTTCGGCCGTTGTACGCGCCGGTCTTCTTCAACATATGTCTATATCTCTGAGATGAGGTATTATGATTATTTACATTATTTACATTATTCGGACTGTTATCCTCGTCTTCACTGCCATATTCACAACGTTTCGGTCGTTGTACGCGCCGGTCTTCTTCAACATATATCTATATTTCTAAGATGAGTTATTATGATTATTTACATTATTCGGACTACTATCCTCAACTTCATTGCGATATTCACAACGTTTCGGCCGTTGTACGCCCCGGTTTTCTTCAGGAAATGAAGGTGAGGATAACGGTCCGAATAACGTAAATAATGTAAGTAATCATAATACTCACTCATCTCATATATATATATATATATATATATATATATATATATATATATATATATATATATATAGATAGATAGATAGATAGATAGATAGATAGATAGAAATAATTATAAATAATAGGAGCAGATATGTTCGCCTATCGTCCGATTCAAACTCCTCCACTATCTTTTGACCAGGAGTAGAGGTTTATCCCTTGTTTCCTGTTCGGGATTGAGTTTCCGGTTCCA